TAATATTGATGTCTGAAGTGTTTATTATTGTTTTTATCTCTCCTGCAGATGGAGATTGATAACGGCGAGGATCTGACGGCTGATTTTCTGTATGACGAGGTTCACCCGAAGCAGCACGCGCACAAGCAGGCGTTTGCGAAGCCACGCGGGCCGCAGGGGCGTCGGGGAGAGCGCAGGATCACACGCCGACCCGGAGACGGACAGCAGGACGACGACTAGCGCTAGCGTTAGCATCAGCTATGCACATCCATCATCATCAAAACTGTGCCAAACCAGAACTCACACAACCGCCATTCCTTCAGTTCCTCACCTTTATATTTTATACGATCACGAGGGAAACTTTCCGATTTAGTTTTATTTCGTTTTTTACGCCTTTGTTTTGATACGATCGTGTTTTTGTTCAGTTTTTCCTATGCAAACGACTGATTTCCTTTGGCATGTTTTTATAATTTACGTCTGAAAGGGACGATTGATGGATGAATATTTAGGTCATGTTCTGGGGTCAGAGGTCACAAAATCTACTGTCATTTGGCAAACCACTGTTTGAGTCTGACATGTAGCCTGTGTGTGAGAGTGTGTGTGTGTTTGTGAGAGAGAGAGTGTGTGTGTGTGTGTGTGTGAACAGAAATGCTCATGTTTTGTTGTTTTTTTAAAGAAAAATAAACTATTTAAATGGTTCATGGACTGGCTTTATTCAGAGATGCAGCAGAGATTCACACAGTCAGTTTTAAACTAAGCATTCGTTCAATATAAAAGCCCTGCATTTCTATTTTGTAGTTGATTTTTCTTTTTCAGGATTGTACAGTAAATATTGATGATTATTATTATTTATTATTATATTACCGGAATCATCTGGAGATCACTTTCTGATGCAGATCCTCCAGCACAGACAGAACCTGTGAATCAGAAATAAACCCATTAATATTAATGTGATGGTGTTAATCATCATGCGAATAATAAATATTATCTGATAGATATTTTAGCTTTTTTGTCTTATTATTAACTGAAGTCTTGGTTTTAGAGCAGGCATGACCAACCCTGTTCCTGGAGATCAACCTTCCTGCAGATTTCAGTTGCAACCCATATCAAACACAGCTGCCTGCAATTATCAAGTGCTGTTCAGGTCATCATTAGTTTGTTCAGGCGTGTTTGATCAGGGTTGGAGGTGAACTTTGCAGGAAGATCGAGCTCCAGGAACAGGGTTGAGCACCAATGTTTTAGAGCAAGTAATTGATCATTATGGTGTAGTTCAGGGGTGTCAAACTCAATTCCTGGAGGGCCGAAGCCCTGCACAGTTTAGTTCCAACCCTGCTCCAACACACTTACCTGTAGGTTTCAAACGAGTCCGAAAGACTCAATTAGTTTGATCAGTCTGGAACTAAACTGTGCAGGGCTGTGGCCCTCCAGGAACTGAGTTTGTCATCCCTGGTGTAGTTCCTCCTCTAATGCTGTGTTCACACCAGACGCTGAACGTGCGGATAAATCGCGCTATTCGCGCGTAAAAAGTCGCGTGAACATTTGAGTTTACTCGCTTCATTTGCGCGTCAAATTCACTTCAGAACAGACGCGGATTCGCGTGATGGGCAGGGCTTCTGTGTGCCTGAAGACTCTAGCTTCATAGCTAAATGGCTAACATGGAAAATAACAAGAAAATAACAGTGTTAATGTGCTTCATGAAGACTGAAAAACAGCGTAGTTACGTTTAGGGTCGTGTCTGAGTCCACTACATGCTTTCAGAGGTGCATCCGGCTCTGGGAGCTCATAAACTTCTCCAGAAACTTAACCTGGATGACGGGGGCTTTCAGCTGTGCTGAGCCAAGCCGAGTTTGATGAACTGTTGTCGGTGAAGGCTGGAGGATTTCCCTCGGAACACCAACAACCAGTTCTACCTCACAATCACGCCCCCACAAGAGCAAGCTTCCGATTGGTTAACGCGGCGCGAATGTCCGCTGAAGTTCAGATTTTCGAATTCGAGAGATTCACGCGAAACGCTCGTCAAACGCGCAAACCGATCAATTCGCCCCGCGCCATTTGCGTCGTTCACGCGTATCGCGCCGCAGGATGTCTATTCGCGCGTTTGCATTGACTTAACATGTAAATCACTCGCTCTTGACGCACGTGCCACGTCTGGTGTGAACGCAGCATAATACAGCATCAGCTGGTGTTGTGAAGGGCAGACAGGAGTCCTACACAGCGGCCAAAGGGGTTCTGAGCCGTTCCTCTTCAGAATAGTGTTCAGGTCACTACTGATGCTGCTGGAGTAAACTCACTCCTCCAAAACACCCCAAAGTGCTCAATAATGTTTACGTCTGGGTACTGTGCAGGCCATAGGAGATGTTCACCTTCACTGTCATGTTCATTAGACCGCTCTGTCTACAGTCCTGCTGTGTGTATCGCTGCATTGTCATCCTGATACACGCCACCGCCTTCAGGATACCATGTTTGACCCAGTTTGGTCACATGGTGCTCCAGAATGATCTGGTAGTCCGTGGCAGTGAGCCAGTGGGCATCTAGCACAAGTATTAGGCATAGGGAACACCATGACATTGAGCCAACACCATCACATGCTTCACTCTGGGCATCAGGAGTCTAGGTGGGATGCTTCTTTGGGGCTTCTCCACATCGTAACTCTCCCACATGTGGCAAACACAGTGAAGGTGGATCATCAGAGTGGTTGGGTAGTGCTTGGCAGTGACCCAGTGCTTATCTAGCAGCAGTATTGGGCCTAGGGAATGTCATGATATTGAGCCCACACCATCACTGATCACCCCATGCTTCACTCTGGGCATCAGCAGTCTGGATGGGATGCTTCTTTGGGGCGTCTCCACATCGTAACTCCTCCCGCATGTGGCAAACACAGTGAAGGTGGATCATCAGAGTGGTTGGGTAGTCCTTGGCAGTGACCCAGTGCTCATCTAGCATAAGTATTAGGGCTAGGGAATGCCATGATATTGAGCCCACACCATCACTGCTTCACTCTGGGCATCAGCAGTCTGGGTGGGATGCTTCTTTGGGGCTTCTCCACATCGTAACTCTCCCACATGTGGCAAACACAGAGAAGGTGGATCATCAGAGTGGTTGGGTAGTGCTTGGCAGTGACCCAGTGCTTATCTAGCAGCAGTATTGGGCCTAGGGAATGTCATGATATTGAGCCCACACCATCACTGATCACCCCATGCTTCACTCTGGGCATCAGCAGTCTGGGTGGGACGCTTCTTTGGGGCTTCTCCACACCGTAACTCTCCCACATGTGGGAAATATATATTTATATAGAGAGAG